CACTGGCTCCTCCCCCACTACCGCCGCTGCCACCGCCACTGCTCCCGGTACCACCGCCGCCCCCACCACCTCCTCCACCGCCTCTACCACCCCCACCGCCTCCACCTCCCCCGCCACCACGACCACCGCCTCCTCCCCTGCCAGCCCCCTTGCCCCTGGCGCTGCGGCGCTTCCCACTAGGAGCGGAAGCAGCCCCAACCTCCTCAGCACCAAGGAAGTCGACAGCAGCAGCAGCAGAGGCGTAGGAGGGGGCAAGGGGGGAGGGGGAGCACCCCTCAAAGAGGGGAGTGCGAGGAGTGCCACGAGCCGCACATACAGCAAGGATGTTCTTCTCAGCTGCAAGGAGCTGCATCTCGAAGTCGTCGACGGTGAGAGCGGTAGGGTCTAGAGCGAGAAAGTGGTCCCTGGTTGAGCGAAGAGTGTCAGGGAGGCGGGTGACAAGGAAGTAGAGCGTAAAGTACATCGGAGGGGTGTTCTTGGCGAGGAACTCGTCGTTAAGGGCGGAACGAAAGCGAGTGTCACTAGCGCGCAGGTGAGAGATGAGGTCCTCAGCAGTGTGAAACGAGGACAGGTTGGGAAACAGGTAGGGCAGCATGAGACGACCTAGGGCTGCAGTGGCCGGGGAGGAGTAGCGCGCAACTACAGCGTCATACAGTGCCTTAACAGTGTTGTGCTGGCTAAAATGCGCGCGCTCGGGGATCGGCAGATGATTGCGAATAGCGAGGCGCACAGCAGCATCGCGAGTCTGCCACTGTGAGAGGTCAAGAGCAGGAGCATCGGCAGCAGGAGCAACAGCAGTGCCACACACGTGAGCGTACAGTGAAACGCCATCTTTGGCATCAGTCATAAGAAACAGCTGGAGGTCGTCGAGCCACACTGTGAACTCGATCGGGCTACCGTCAGGCTCAAACGCGAGAACGTGAGGCGTCGTTAGAATCGCAGTGCAAGCAGAGGCAGTCGGCAAGACTGTGCGCGAGGCCGCAAAGTGAGCGCGCAAGCGGCAAGGGCGGCACGCAAAGCAGCCGCAGGCAGCGCAGGCAGCGCGCAAGGGAGCAGCAGGCCGCGTGCAGGCTGCGGCGTTGCGGATCAAGTTGGTAGGGCGGCGCGCGGGGCTGCGGTGGGCCACGCGCAGGCAGCTAAGGCGCTGCGCGGGGCAGGAGCGGGCCGCGCGGGGCAGGAGCGGGCCGCGCGCGGGCTCGGCGCGGGCTGCGCGGGCTCGGCGCGGGCTGCGCGGGCTGCGTGGGGCAGCAGCGGGCTCGGCGCGGACTGCGCGGGGCTGCTGCGGGCCGCGCGCGGGCTGCGCGGGCTCGGCGCGGGCTACGTGGGCGGTACGCGGGACAGCAGCAAGGCGCGCGCGGGCTGCAAGAGCGACGCGCGCGAGGCAATTGCAGGCAGCAGACAGTAGACGGCGCGCGTGAATTAGGTCTGCGCGCAAAGCAGCAGCAGACTGCGCAGACAGTAGACAGCAGGCAGACGGCGCGCGCAGCGCAGCACGTCACAGTCACAGTCGTGGGGTAGCGGTAGGTGGGCCCGAAAAAAAAAACGGTCCTACGGACCTACTGCTCTGAAATTATGTTGAGAATGCTAGGCAGGAATGAATGAACTAGATCAGAGTTGGGTACAAATATGAAACCCTAAAAGTTATGTACCCCATATTGGCTACCCCACTACAGCCTACACAAATATAACATATACACAAATATAACCCATATAGTTTGACAAAATGCCCTTGATCGACAGCCCTGCTCCTTAGCTGCTATAAGGGTTGCAGCCGCTGTGCATGGTTGTGCCCCTTAAGTTTGCCACCAGGGCCAACACCCTCGATATGGCGAGCCCCATTATCACACTTCGAACAGTGTAGCCTAATATAAAAACCACACAATCATAATCACAATCATTTATTTACGAGCATACCAAGCTGTATGAACGTATGTAACGATCATCTCTTACGACTCGTAACATCCTACGTAGCCGGCCTCCTATTGAAGAGTGACTCTTCGCACAGTCTACAAGCTGTCGTGAGGTGTCCCTGAGTTGAATAAACTGGACTTTCGAGATAGGAAACAGGGCACAAACAACGTCAACAATTACGAATCATGAAACATCAATATAATTAAACCTAGTACGCTGAAGCTTTCGGTTTAGTACACAAAACTATCACAAAAATATGGGAAATTCGGTTAAGAATCCCGACCTTTTAAGGCCTGGTTGGACACCAAGAGTTTTGATGTGCAACCGGAAATATTGTGCTATGATAAATTGAAAATACAAATTAATGGTGAGGCACGGGGCGTATATCAGTTTGCGAGACATACGGAATGAAATTAGATGCGTTATTTGAAGGATACGCAATGCCCTACAATTATGCTATGTAGTCGAAAGACCCTTTAGGGCGTGGAACATTTTTACGAACACGTCAAATGGTCGAATTTATGGTTGCTTCTGGCGATTGCGAAGGATTTAGGGAAACCCCATCGTGTGACATGCCTAGTATTCACCCTCACTAGACCGAATTTCCACGGTATTTTCCGTAGGATTTTTGTCGCCTACCTACACTGTCCAGAGAAGGGACAACGTTTAACTTCGATTTTTCCACCGAAATTGTTTTCCAGCCCCGCTGTACTTGCAAAACATACAACTTTCCGAATGCTTAAACTAGGATCAGATGTTTTTTTCTTAATTATAGTAGTATTTAGCAGGTGCCCCACGTTCTGGAGAACAGAATAGCTTGAAAATCTCGCATCCTTCGCATCCCCGTTACACCCTTCGCAATCGCCAGATCCAACCATACGGGCGACCATTTGGTATGGTCGTAAAAATGTTCTACGCCCTTAGTATCAAGAGTGCTGCCTCTTCATTGAGAAGAAGTTTAGAAAGCGGCGGTAAAGTGGGAGAGGGCAGCGGATTGAAGATATTGGGAGGCGCACGAGGGCCCGCAGTGCGCGGCGCGGCCCGCGTGATCGCGATGGCGTGAGGAGGCAGCGTAGGGCGGCGAGGCGCCGCTTTGCATTCGAATTTGCGGCGCGACGCCGCGCGCGGATTTGGTGGTACGAGACGCTGCGCGGGGAATTACGGCGAGGCAACACCGCGTGCGGATTTGCGTCGTTGCGTTGGCGCCCGCGGATTTGCGGCGATGCGACTTAGCGTGCGGATTTGCGGCGATGCGACTTAGCGTGCGGATTTGCGGCGATGCGACTTAGCGTGCGGATTTGCGGCGATGCGACTTAGCGTGCGGATTTGCGACGAGGCGACTTAGCGTGCGGATTTGCGGCAATGCGACGTAGCGTGCGGGCTTTGAGGCGAGCGGGAGGAGGCAGCAAGTTGCGGTGGGGCGACGACGCTACTAGGGGCTCGATGCAAAGGCGATTTGTGGCGGCTCTAGGCAACAGAGATCAACTCTAGGCTGCGTAGGGAGGCAACGGGATTTTCTACGTACAGTGCGGTGAAGCTACACGGCGACGCAGCGGCGACCGACGAATGAAGGCGTATTTGGCTAACGCTGGCGCCGGCGCAACCTTCGGTACCTTCGGTGTATGACGTAACCCTAAGCTCCGAATTTCAACGGTGTGGGTAGGACTAACCTAGTAGCGCACGCGAAGAATGCTACGCGAGTGGCACCCTGCGGGGGAAACGAATTAGTATACTTTTGCCATCTATAAACTTTTGACAGTCGAGTGAGCTGGGAGGAGTTGGGGGCCCCTCGTTTCTCGAGAGAGAGGTTGGGTGGGCTTGTAATTCGGTAACCACCATGTACCTTTTATAAACTTTTGGCACTGGCCCTGCCAAATGTATACCGCCGCTTTAAAGATGTTACGAAGATACGAAGTATACGAAATTTCAGTATGGGGCACATTTTCCCCTTCCTTTTCTGTGACGCAATTTCAACTGCCGGCGACAAGGAGCCCAATTACGCCGGAACCACTCCTGGTTTTGACCATCCTGGTTTTGCCATTTGGCAGAATCACTGGCTCATATGCGGTAGCTGTAGGACGCATCACTCAATGAATTGTTTATCCCCACAACACAGCCACAAGGACATCAACATCATCCCAGCCCGAAGGAGCAGATGTGGCTTCACTACCCGTACGGCGCCACTTTCTGAAAGAATTGGAGTGAAATGCGTGGGGGTCTCCTGGAAAATGGGGAGGATGAAGGGGGGAGGTTTATCCAATGAGAGAGCAAGAGTGTACACTCATTTGGCGGCTTAAACCAAATGAGAATGTGACCGAACTGAAGTTGTGTTCTGGGCTGTTGTTCAACACGAAAGTGCCCTGTACAAAAACTTCGTTTCGTTGACGAAAGGACGACAGGTTCAAACGACGCGCTGTACTCTGTAGTTTTGTAGAATACTAATGTTCCGGAAAGTACAATGTTGAAAATCAGGTGTACTTTCTGTCACCGCTTTTGCGCTACGCACTATGCTTTGTGTCTGTCCGTCCGTCTGCCATGCTCGCCAAATATCTTCTTGGCTGGGCCAAAAATCATCATCACATCGGATCCCATGCTCACCAGATGCTGCAGCTGAAGCGATCACAGACGCTAGTGTTCCTTGATTACTGCACCGCACTGAGATTGGCTGAAAGCAAGAACAGGGGTGGACGGACACTGGGCAGTTGGCAGTCCTTTGTGATGGCATGGCAATTGTCCGTCTCTCCCGCGATTGGGTTTAGTGGACCTCGCCTCGCCCGCCGCTTTCTCCCCTTACGTCCCTCGGTCCTCACTTCCTGTGGCAGAATCGCACAGTACTTGTACGCGAGTTTCCCATTTGCTGGAAAGTTCTCCTTCCGCTCTACCTTCATGATCCCTCAAACCCCACCTTTCATTCAGCTCCTTTGCTGATCGTCGGATTGCCCAACACCGTTACATCGGACGGCGGAGGCACGCAGACACACACCCATTTCTAGATTCATGGCATGAATCGATCCGAAGGCCCGTCCGCCGATGCCGACGACTGGTTAGCATCGCCCTATTACGCCAAACCGAAGCGCGGCTTCTCTCAAATGGCCGATAACTTGAAGTCGGATGATGATGATCGTGCCGTCGACTCGGAGTCAACGGAGCAGTTTACAGGAGTAGCGTCTCTGCAACCCGCTAGCAGTACTAGCACGACTTCTGCGAGTAGCACGAACAATGGTGGCGCCTTTGAAGGGGTAGTTGACGCTCCGCGTCGCGCCGCCGGCGCCGACAGGCGGTTCTCGTGCAGCGCCGTTACACCAGCGGGGCTTGCCGCGGGGAATGGGATCGCGATTGGCGGGGGCGGCGCTGCCGCCGCAGCTGCCGCCGCTGCGCTGTCCGCCGCGGTCGCCGCGGCTGCAGCGGCCTCCGCGGCGGCCGAAAGAAGCGCCGGTGGTAGCAATGGCCGTCTGACTGGATACCATACTGGCGATGGTAGTAGTCTCTCTGCCAGCGGGTCGGAATCAGCGGCACTGCGGCCCCCAGCCGCGCTGTTCTCTGTTGCGGAATCAGGCTCTGCGCTCGCCGCCGCTGCGCTGTCCTCCTCCCCTTTCCCCGCGCAAAAATCGCTCACGGGTGCCGTGGCGGCAGGCGCGCGGCGTGGTCCTGCCACCGGACGCGCCGCGCGGCCAGGCAGCAGCGGCGGCGGCGGCGGCGGCGGCGGAGATTGCAATCGTGGGGGGGGCAGGGGGATGGCGCGAACGGCGGAAAAAGCGGAGTTTGATTTGTCGGTGCCCGCGAAGGCGCGCAAGTCGATGTCCGGGTCGGGCAGACGCGCGTCGCTGGACTACTCGGACCTGGAAGCCGTGCGGGAGAGGTGAGACGGCGCGTGAGGTTACCGTGCTGTAAGGTGGCCAATTGGTGACTCGAGTCGAGGGGATGGGTGTAGTGTAGAGATCACGTTTGAGACGCGCGTCGCTGGACTACTCGGACCTCGAAGCCGTGCGGGAGAGGTGAGGACAGCTGGGAGGCGGTTGGGGACTTACCGAAGGGTGAATGGGGGGGTTCAAGGGATGGATGGAGAGGGATGGGGAGGAGTTGGAGATTGAGGTGTGGAGGTGAGGCGGATCTGACGTGGGGGAAGGAAGAAGGATGTTGGGAGAGTTGGGGCAAAGAGGGAAGGGAAGGGAGGGAGAGGAACGTTGTGCGTGAGGGAGTGTGTGTGTGTGTGTGTGTGTGTGTGTGTGTGTGTGTGTGTGTGTGTGTGTGTGTGTGTGTGTGTGTGTTGTGTGCCCGTAAGTGTGTGGATGCCGCCTCTATGTGCGCGTGCGCTTCATGTTTGTTTGTCTCTGTGGGTGTGCACCCATCTCAAAGTGCATTTGTGTGCGGCACTTGCGTTTGTACGAGAAATTTTGTGTGTGTCAGCACTTGCTTGTATGTGTGTGCTTGTGTGCGTGTAAGTGTTGGTTTGTGTGTGTACATCTTAGTCACGTAGTGTGTCCATGCAGCGCCCTGCATTTTCTCATCTTCCGCAAAGTCGTATGAACTGGAGTCTTATCCGTTTAATGCAAGCCTGTTGTCATGATACAGGCATTGACCCAACCCAGCGCCAATAAGGTAAGCAGAGAAATTAGGATAGGCAAAGCTGAAAACGGGAGGCGAAAAGAAACCAAAGTAGGCGTGACAGCGAGGTAGCAAAGGCAAGATAACGAGTCATAACACCCTCCCTCCCTTCCTCTTTTTCTGATTTGCTCCCTCTTTCAGGGTGCAGCAGGCCGCGGCCCTGTGGGCTCTTGCAGAGGACAGGGAGAGGGATCAAGGGAATCAAGCCAGCGATACGGACGATGATGATGAGGAAGTCAGCAGCAGCAGCAGCAGCAGCAGCGCCGGGGGAAAGCAGCAGGAGAAGCTGTCAGTAGCTGTGCACCAAGGTTCCAATGCGTCTCAACAACAACAGCACAAATCCATCTCAAAATTGGCTTCCCAGTCTCACTCACAGGGAGGAGCAGTTGAGGAGGCTGGGAACCAAGGCAGAGCAAAAGGCCCGTCCCGCAGCAAATCGGGTGCACGAGGGTCTCTAATTCGTCGATGGCTCAACTTCGGCCGCTCGTGATGCCGGGGTTTGAAGTTTGACTTCAGTCAGCAGTAGGAGGGAAGCTGTGCACGCGGGTAAGCACCCAGCAGGAACAGGCGAGGTGACCTCTCATCGCACATTTTAATCTAAATCAAAATCATTCTGTTGGAGCCTTTACGGTACGAGCGAGCCTGGGATGAGAGATTGCTCCGATCCAATGTATTGTATGTGAGACAGTCTGTCTCTAGTACCACCTGTCCATTACTGTATGGTCGCAATTCAAGTGCACCCATTTTTCCAGAGGTACCTCGTCTTGTCTTGACAAGGCACTCAGTATCAGAATACTAGCGTAAGAATGATGCATTGAAAGAAACAGTTGGGTACAAGTAGCTAACCCTAGTTGGGTTTGTACCCTGTATTGGCTACCCCACTACAGCCTACCCACATATACATACCACATTACAACTTAACACACCCCCATAGGCAAAGTGGGGGAGAGCAAAGGGTCACAAGACCAGTCCAGCAAAGCAAAACAAGCCCAGGGTGGATCACAACGTCACCACACTCCGAGCACAAGCAAAGGCCACAAGGCCAGTTCACATGCAGTGCTAGATATAAAAAGGACAAGCAGCAAGATATATATTAAGTACAGTACAAAGAAAGTCAAGCAGTAAGCAAATGAGGAAACGTGGACACAAGGCCTAAAGAAGTACAGTGCCGCTGATGATCACTAGGCGGGAGCGCCTTGGTGAAGATATCAGCAGTGTTGGCCTTCGAGTCCACGTACACAAGCCGAAGCTGACCGCGCTGCTGAAGCTCTCGAGCAAGAAAGTAGCGAAGAGCAATGTGCTTTGTCCTGTGCTCCAGTCTGTGCTCCTGACACAAGGCAAGGGCCGCCTTGTTGTCACCGTACAGAACTGGAGGAGAACTAGGCCGCTCTCCCAAGTCAGTCAGCAGGTAGGTGAGCCAGCGTAACTCCTGTGCAGCCATGGCCGTGGCGTAGATCTCAGCCTCACAACTAGAGCCGAGAACAGAAGAAGAGCGGGTGGACCGCCACGAGACAGAACCAGAGCCAAGGCTGAAGGTGTAACCCTGTGACGACCGTTGCGTAGCCAGGTCGTCCACCCAAGAAGCGTCCGAGTGACCAGTGAGGACAACTCTGTCGCGTCCTCCAAGCACCAGCCCCATGCCTGATGTACTGCACAAGTAACGCAGCACCCTCTTAGCAGCCTCCCAGTGCTCTCGCCTGTGTCTCCCAGGCGCAACGTAACGAGCAAGGATGCTAAGAGGGTACGCGAGGTCAGGTCGCGTGCAAGTCATCAGGTACATGAGGCAGCCTACAAGCTCTGGGTACGGGCCACTCGGCTCTACGGACTCGTCCGAAGGTGGAGCTGAGAGCGAGTGGCTGGTAGCCAGAGGTGTGGCCTGTGGTGAGGAGAACTGGAAGCCGAAGCGCTGAAGGACCTGCTGCACCATGTATGACTGAGTCAGGGTGATGGTGCGGCGTGCTCTGTCCCGGGTGATCTGCAAGCCAAGGTAGCTACGCAGCTCACCCAGGTCAGTGCAGGTGTGTCTCTTCTGCAGCTCCGACTTCACACGAGCGAGTGCCTCAGTGTCAGCAGTAGCAAAAACCAAGTCGTCGACGTACACGAGGATGTAGAACGGCGGCAGCGACGTGTCTGTGCGCAGGAACAGTGACGGGTCAGCAGTGGAAGGAGCAAACCCAAGGGCCGCAAGTGTAGTCCTCAGTGTGTCGTGCCACTCGCGCGGTGCCTGGCGGAGACCGTAGACTGGCCGCCGGAGGCTCCACTGGGTACCAGGAGGAAACGACCCAGTAAAGCCAGGTGGGCGGCGCAGCCAGATCTCCTCGTGCAGGCTGCCCTGCAAGAACGCTGTGCTGAAGTCAAGAGAGTGAAGCTCGTAGTCACGCTGAACGGCAACGTGCAGCAGAACCCGAAGAGTGGTCATCTTCGGGGTGGGGGAGAAGGTCTGAAAGAAGTCAACCCCCTGACGCTGACTGAAGCCTCTAGCAACGTAACGAGCCTTGAAGACAGGTGGAGAACCTGGCGGCCGCTTCACCCTGAAAATCCACATGCCATCGACGATGTTCGCCCCAGGAGGGGGAACCTCGTCGACGTAGGTGCCTGTGGACTTCCAGGATGCCATCTCTGCGTCCATGGCTGTCTGCCACTGAGAGGAGTAGGGACCCGAGATCGCCTCTGCGTAAGAGCGCGGAGTGGGGATGTCTAGTGCATCCGGGTCTCCCTCAGGGGCAAGCAAGAGATGAGGTACAGCAGCCGCAAGAGAGTCAAAGTCCTCCTGCCTGTCCTCAAGGACGTCCGTGCCAAGAGCACACTCACCCCCGACGGACGGAGGACAGACAGACTCAGACCCAGCAACAAGACTGGCGGCGTAGTCTAGACGACAGGCAGCAGCAAAGTCGACAAGCTCAGCGACCAGGGCAGACGCAGCAGAAGACTCAAACGACGGGTCAGTGACAACAGTGGCGAGAAGACGCGTAACAGTAGGGTGGGCAGCACGAACACTGTCAGACTCAGGGTCGGGAACCTCAGGAAGAGAAGACGCAGGAGGAGACGGTAGGGGGACACGCTGTGGACCAGTGGAAGGACGAAGGGCCATAATATGCGTGCCAGGAACAGGAGGAGGACGCGGACGCGCGACACGACGACCAGTGGGACCAGTGCGCGCAGTGCGAGCAGTGCGAGCAGCACGAACAGGCGAGGCAGGACGAGACACAGGCTCACGACGCTCCGTAAGCGAGTCCGGCTGTGCAGTGTAAGGCACAGGAGCAGGGAGGGGGGAGCCAGGCTGGAGAGGAAGGCCAGTGGAAGACGGGAGGGAAAGAACCTGGCGAAGCACCGTGTCAGGCGGTGGCAAAGCCGACGGCGACGGTGGAGCGAAGAACAGGCGCGACGGCGGAGCTCCGCCAGCACCTCCAGCACCCGCAGCACCAGAAGCACCAGGACCAGCACCCCCCGCCGCAGCACCCCCAGAGCCGGCGACGTCAGCACCAGAGGCCTCAGCAGCGGCAGACCTCCCCTCGCCAGCACCTCCAGAGCCAGCAGGACCAACGTCTCCAAGACCGTCAGCTCCAGTGTCGTCAGCTCCAGCACCTCCAGGAAGAGCACCCCCAGCGCCGGCAGCGCCAACTCCGCCAGTACCGCCAGCCCCAGAGGCCCCAGCTCCAGCAGCTCCAGCCTCAGTGCTCCCAGAACAACCAGCCCCGGCAGCTCCAGTACCTCCAGTACGAGCACCTCCAGGACGAGCAGCTCCAGAACCTCCAACTCCAGCAGGGCCACGAGGACGGCGAAAGCGCCGGACGTACCAGTCACGAAGCTGCTGCGGCGTGAGAGACGGCTCAGCACCCCGAACCGGAGCACCCCCAGACGCAGCAACCCCAGGCTCCGTAGGCTCAGTCGCAGCACCCCCAGGCTCAGTACCCTCAGGCGCAGCACCCCCAGGCTCAGCACCCCCAGACTCAGTACCCCCAGGCTCCGTACACGCAGGCTCAGCACCCCCAGTCGCAGCACCCCCAGTCGCAGCACCCCCAGGCTCAGCACCCCCAGGCTCCGTACGCTCAGGCACCGTACCCTCAGCTCCAGCACCCTCAGTCCCAGCACCTGCAGCCCCAGCACCCCCAGGCCCAGCACCCCCAGGCTCAGCACTCCCAGCAGGCCCACCCGCAGCAGCACCTGAGTCACCTGTGACCTCGACAGGCTCAGCGACGGGAGGAGGGTCTACCTGAGAGACACCTGAAGGAGCAGGACCCTGAGGGGGGAGGGGGTCTACCGGAGGGGGACCAGGAGCAAGGAAAAGCGGCGGGGGAGGGAGGGGGGCAGTGCGGTAGGGGAAGAGACGGTAAAAAGGGACCGACTCGTCAAAGGTGACGTCCTGAGAGGCGAAGACCCGGCGCGAGGTGGGGTGGTAAAACTGCCAGCCAGGCGCGTCAGGGACAAAGCCAAGGAAGACACAGGGAAGCGTGCGGGAGGAGAGCTTGTCCGCGGACGTATCGCGGACAAGGGCACGAGCACCCCACACCCGGAAGCGCGACGCATCGCCAACCTCCCCCGTCCAACGCAGTGTGGGCGAGGTCTCCGGCAAGGAGACACGGGGCCAGAGGTTGAGCTGATGCGCGGCGTACCGGACAGCAAACGGCCACAGAAAATGGGGAGCCGCCGCGTGGACCAAGGAGGTACGAGCGACCTCCATGACCAGGCCAATGCGGCGCTCAGCAACCCCATTCTGCTGTGGGGAGTCCGGAAGCGTGAAGGTCTGCTCGATGCCCTCCGCCTGACAGAAGGTCCTCAAGAGATCGGAGGAAAACTCACCACCTCTGTCAGAGTGCAGACGCAGGACAGGAAGATCCGTCCGGAAACGGCGGCGGAGCTGGAGACGAACCGTGCGGATCCAAGGGATCAGAACAGCAGGGACCTCACCCTTGGTGCGCAAGGGGAAGACCGTGGTGTAACGCGAGTAGTCGTCGACAACCAGCAAAAAGTACCGCTCACCGCCCTGGCCACGAACGCGGGCTGGGCCCCACACGTCCAGGTGGAGGGTCTGCAGAGGAGCCTCTGTCGGGGGGAACGAGGAGGAGTGAGGAGCGGCGCGCTGCCGCCCCTCGACGCAAGGAAGGCAGGGCGGCGCAGGCGAGGCAGGGAGGGGAGGGAGGGACCTGGGAAGACCAGACACAAGGTGGCGACGGTGCATGCCACGGAGGCGTGGCAAGGAGGGGTGACCCAGGCGGTGGTGCCAGAGAAGAGTCTGGTGCGACAGGGAACGACACTCACAGGCGTGGGCTACCAGACCTGACGCGGACACCTGACCGACAGCAGCGACCTGAGGAGACGCAGTGGTCAGTGTGTAGAGACTCGATCCCGGCTGACGGGTAAACGTAGCCAGGTGACGGCCGGTCCTGGAGCACGTGAGGATCGCCACACGCTGTCCTCCAGGGGTGAAGGTGTCAACCCACTGATCCTGGATGACAGCGTTGCTCACCAGGTTCGTCGAGAACGAGGGGAGGTGGAAACCCGACAACGAGCCAGACGGAACCGCCGGGCACGGAAGCACAGTGGTGGACCGTGCAAGGACTGGGCCCCCCGAGGGGTCAGCCAGGGAGACTGGGACCGGTGCAGGAAGCGGTGTGAGCTCAGTACTGTCACGAAAGAAACAGCGAGAAGCACCTGAGTCAAGGGTGAAGGTGTGCAAGGCCTCAGCGGGTGCAGTACCTGAGAGAGCAGTCTCTGTGGGTGCTGTACCTGAGAGAGCAGACTCACAAGCAGCAGGGACAGCACTGGAGGGAGCAGACACAGAGGGCACCATACCAGAGAGAGCAGACTCACTAGTACCTAGGGCAGCGGGCTCTATACCTGGGTCAGGCGGCACACACAAGTAACAGTCTCCCTCGGCACTAACAGTCAATGCATACATGGCAGCAATAATAGCATCATAGTCAAGAGCAAAGATATCAACACCAGCCCTCATCAGCTCCGCCCAGCAGGGGCGCTCAACATCCTCGCCCATCTCCTCACGCCAAGCGTCGTCAAGGCGGGAGAAGCAGCGGTACGGGGTGTGGAACCTCCCACACGTCTGTCCCTTGCGGTCACCTGTGCGAATGACATAGGAACAGCGGCGGTTGCCCCCCGACGTCCCACGCTGAGCAAGCCACTCACGAAGCTGCTGGGTCGTCTGGGGACGCTGCTGCTGCTGGGAGCTCTGGCCCGAGCCAGTGCCACCACTCCGACCTCCGCCGCCACCACCACCTCCGCTCCGACCGCCACTGCCGCTACCGCCACCGCCGCCACTGCCACCGCCGCCACCGCCGCCGCCACCACCACCGCCACCGCTCCCTCCGCCGCCCCCGCCTCCGCTGCCGACCCCACTCCCACCAGCACTCCCGCCACCGCTCCCTCCAGCACCGCCTCCTCCCCCACCTCCCCCACCTCCTCCCCCCCCAGCGCCACCCCCGCCACCCTTGCCCCCCTTGCCCTTGCCGGTGCGGCGCCTCCCACCAGGAGCAGAAGCAGCGCCAGCAGACTCAGCACCAAGGAAGTCAACAGCAGCAGCAGTAGCATAGGAGGGAGCGAGGGGAGAGGGAGAGCACCCCTCAAAGATGGGGGTGCGAGGAGCGCCGCGAGCAGCACCGACAGCTACAATGCTCTTCTCGGCTGCTAGCAGCTTCTCCTCTAGGAGGGCGACAGTGAGCTCAGTGGGACAGCGAGCAAGGAAATAGTCGCGCACTGAGCTGAGGGTGTCAGGGAGACGGGTGACTATGAAGTGGAGTGTCCAGTACAGTGGAGGGGGGTTCTTAGCGCAGAACTCAGTGGGAAGGGCGGCACGCAGGCGAGCGTCACTAGTGCGAAGGTGGGTGATAAGATCGGCGACTGTAGCAAAGGTGGACAGCTCAGGGAACAGGTAAGGCAGCATGAGGCGGCTAAGCTCAGCTGTGGCCGGTGAGGAGTAGCGAGCAACGACAGCGTCGTACAGGGCCTTAGCGGATTTGCAGTCGCCAAAATGCTCGAGCTCAGCTAACGGCAGGTGACTGCGAATGGCTAGGCGAGCAGCTGCGTCACGAGTCTGCCAGTGGGAACGAACACTAAGCTCAGCTGTGGCAGGAGGGGCAGGCGCAGCACCAGACGCATAATCATAGAGCGACACATGCTCCTTGCTATCGCTCAGGAGGAACAGCTGCAGGTCATCTAGCCAAGTGGTGAACTGCACAGGGCGGCCCTCAGCATCGAACGACAGCACGCGGATGGAAGCCATAGCGACAGTATGACAGAGCAGCGCAAGCTACCGCAGCAAGGGTGGGCAATTGCGCACGGGTAGGGAGCAGCAGGCGGCGCTGCAAGCGGGCAGCGCGGCGGACAGGCGGCTCTGTGGACGGGCAGCGCGGCCGGCAGGCGGCGCTGCAGGCGGGCAGCGCGACTGGCGGGCGACTCCGCAAGCGGGCAGCGCGGCGGGCGGGCGGGCAGCGCGACGGGCGGCGCAGGGCACAGCGGGCGGCGCGCGAGGCTGCAAGGCAGCGCGACGAGCTGCGCGGGGCAGAGCGGGCGGCGCGCGGGGCTGCAGAGCCGAGCGACGGGCAGCGCAGGGCAGGGCGGGCGGGTCTCGGGGCTGCGCAGCAGATCGACGGGCGGCTCGGGGCACAGCGGGCGGTGCGCGGGGCTGCGAGGCAGCGCGACGGGCAGCGCGGGGCAGAGCGGGCGGCGCGACGGGCAAAGCAGGGGAGGGGGAGGCGCGCGGGGCTCTGGGCTGGCAGGACGCCGGTCGGCAGGGCGCACGAGGGCGCTACAAGGGCGCTACGAGGGCGCTAGGGCGCAACGAGGGCGCTACGAGGGTAGGGCGCGGGGGTAACGCGGTAACCGCAGCGTGCGGTGGTGGGCCCTAAAAAAAAAACGATCGAATGGTCCTAGGGACCACCTGCTCTGATACCATATCAGAATACTAGCGTAAGAATGATGCATTGAAAGAAACAGTTGGGTACAAGTAGCTAACCCTAGTTGGGTTTGTACCCTGTATTGGCTACCCCACTACAGCCTACCCACATATATATAACACATTACAACTTAACACTCAGTTTCCAGAAGAATCGAACAGTTGCCTGAAATAGAGCTTTGAGGCTACGTTGGTTGCACGTCAGTACCGGTGTGTGGCAGTTCCCAAGGCCTTGTCATGGCCTGGACTTGGGGAATGTTTATTGAACAACCTTGTTACAGGTGCAACGGATCGAGGTAGCGAGGATTGCACTAGAGTGTCAAACGAGTACAAAGATGTGAGCGAAGGCATGAGCGAACATTTGTATGCGAACATGCAAACGGTAACGCGGTGCGTGCGAGCTAGCTAGTGCTACGCTGGCAGCGAGGCTCGGGCTAGTCCCGAAGCGTAGGCCGACACGGCCGGGCCAGCAGTGCGTGGTTTGGCAAAACAGTGCGCGCGAAGTTGGCGAAGTCCCGTTAGCAGTAACGGGCGAACAACGGCAGTGCTGTACGCGATGTAGCCGGACTCCGTAAGGAATGCCGAGAAAATTCCTTACAAACCTGCAGCATACCTGCAGTGTCTGCGATCCTAGCTTACCATTTCAATCTCGTATAACAGGAGGTCTCTTAACATACCGTAAAGCATTTCTTCATATACCGTAAAAAGCCCTCCAGTGTGAAAAAAAAGCTCTTCCAATCCAATAATTGTACAAGATACGACCAAATTATTCATCACTTGATTTATTACCTGTCCCGGAACCCGTAAGGGAAAAAAAAATCAAAACAAATGAAGAATAGCACCTTAGCTTGACAACCAAGAGCCAAACTGCCAACCAAAGCAGCTTTATTGCCAACCCAGCCCACACTTAAAACCCCATACCATGTACATGTTACACCGTTCTCCTTGGTTCAACCTTCAAACTTCTTCGCCAAATCTGCCGGTGGGTCGTAGTGCACATCGTTGAGCGTGGACTGCATGTCCATGGCGTATATCCGCTTCACGCGCAAATACGTCTCCTGCACCATCCATGGAGCACAAGAGCACATGCGGAAGGCGCCCTGTCAGTCATGATTTGCTCGTCCGTAACCCAATGCGGCAAGGTTCCTTTCTGCGCTGCTTGCATTGCCCAACACTCCCTCGCTGTGCTCTTTCACCCAACACTCCGCACAGCACTCCATAACTGCAACAGTAGCATCCATTACAATCTCGATCGAATATACACAACCTGCAGCAGAGAGGCGAGGAGCAGAGAGGCGAGGAGCAGAGAGGCGAGAGAGGCGAGCAGCAGCACACAAGCAGAGCACGCACCTTGTCTTGAATCATGGCAAACACGCGGTTGGACGAGTTGGTGAAGTGCACGCCCTTGCCCGCTGCAAACGGGTCCTCCACCTTGCCTGCTGCTCGCCCCGCCCCCGCCGCCGCACCTGCGCCTGCGCCCGCGCCTGCGCCCGCCTCCGCGCCTTGCTCTTCCTGTGCCACGGCAGGCTTGCCGAGAGCGGAGAGGACTGTCTGCACGTCCTGCTGCATGTGCTCAAAGCGCCCCACCACGTCGTACTTGATGTGGTTCAGCCCGCACAGGAAGGTCTGGATAGAGAGGTGCATGTAAAGTGGGGTAGCAGAGGAGAAGGGGGTTGAGGGAGGGAAGGAGAGGTGGGCGGTGGAGTGGGGTTGAGGCAGGTTGGTGGTGGGAAGGGGTTGGGGGGAGTGTGTCACGTGGTAAGGTGTGCAGTGTGGTGGTTGGAGGAAGGTACACCAGTGCGTGCAGTACGGCACCCATGGCAGAGCACTGGAAGGCGCACGCACAAAGCACAGCCATTGTGAGTGCAAGGCGCAGTAGGTAGGTATCAGTGTAGTCACTGCTCTTCCACGCGTGCGTGTAGCCTCGTCTAGCAGCTGTTCACGTCGTGTGAATTAGGCGCGCAAGGTGCACTAGGAAAACACACATACGCACATCCCACAGACAAACACAAGCACACGCCCCCAGACACACGCGGCTCTGCACGGGCCACACAGGACCACGCGCACAGAGTTTTCCCACCTTCGTCCCTCACCTGCAGTGCAAGGTGGTTGTCCATGGCGACCAAATCGTCCATGCGCCGTGCACCTCCACGCACAGAGGCCCACAGGCACACATGCAAGGGTCCCCCAGCCCAGGGCCGCCCTTGCTCACCTGCGGGGCAAGGTGGTTATCCATGGGCACCAGGTCGTCCATGCGCCGCGCCTCCTCCACCAGGCGCGAGAATTCCTTGAAGCTCACCACCGCGCAGAGAACCCCCAGCCCAGGCAATGACACACCATCCATCGTGCTCACCTGCGGCGCAAGGTGGTTGTCCATGGCAACCAGATCGTCCATCCTCCGTGCCTCCTCCACCAGGCGCGCGAATTCCTTGAAGCTCACCACCGCGCCCAGCATCAGCCGCAGCGCGCCCCATGGGGTGAGCGCGGGGGCGAGGCGCGAGGGGTGCGCGAGGTCCGAGAGGGCGAATGGGCGGTGTGTTTGGCGGCTGACTGTTGCCAGGCGGAAGAAGAAGCGCTGCGGTGGGTTGAAGAGGGGGGGGAGCGAGGGGAGAAGATGGGAGGTGCTGAGAGGGAGGGAGGTGACATGAGAAGGGAGGTGGCTGGGTGGGGTGGGTGGACACGAGGGGAGGGGACGGGGATGAGGGGCGAGGAAACATAAAGAAACGAGACACAAGGCGGCGAGCAGGTGGGAAAGAGGGCGACAATGAGACTACAGATACAAAGGCATGCAGCAACTGACAAACGGAAACCTCCCCATCGTCCCCAACCTTCGTTCCCCACACATCCCTTCCCCCCTTTCCCCTTCACCCCTCATCCCCCTCCTCCCCCTCCCACACACCGCCCCAGCTGCCCTGCTTATCCTCGTGTTCTTGACTCACCAGGGTCCATCCGATGCGGATGCGCATGCCGATGCCCTCCCCCTGCACCACCTTATCCATGTATGCAGACACCAGCCGAGAGAGCGGGTTGCGCACAAACACAAACCGCACCAGGTCCCGCCGCGTGACGGCGCGGATGGCCTCAGGCTCGGACATGGCGAACCAGACGGCCGGGAGGTGCGAGCGGTAGGGGCGGTGCACGGAGGCGCGGTCGGCGGCGTTGGGATCGTGGTGCTGCTGGCGCATCCACATCTTCCAGCTCGTGCAGGCCGCCTTGGGCACCGCGCAGTACAACACTCCGAGGGACTCTGGTGGCGCAAGGGGCGGGGAGAGGGTCGGGTAGAGGGCAGGGAAAGGGCGTGCAGGGGTCGGGGAGGGGGGCATGGAGTTGGCAGTGAAAGAGAGGGATTAAGGAGGTGAAGTGGTGATGAATTGAGAGAATCGAGCGAGTGAAGTGGTGCAAGGGGCATTAGGTGCGGTGCAAGAAAGCATCCTCTGGTGCCCCAATGTCAGATCCATGGGTGGTGTGGCAACATGGCCTGGCACAGCAGGGCAGGGCGCAACGAGACCATTAATCCTTCACAGCGCAGCACCGCACAGCACCGCAGAGCACGTGGACTCACCATCGACGATGAGCTGCTGCCCGACGCGGTGCTCCGTGATGGGCTTCATGGCCGGCGCATCACACAGCGCCCTCTCCGCCTCAAACCACGCCTCTGCACTTCCTGCACCACCACCGTCACTGGTAGCTTCACCACCATCCGTCGCGCTCAGGCGCCGGGTCACAGCCCTACCACCACCACCATCAGCAGCACCAGCCCAGCCGTTCCCTGTGCTCTCCACAATGCCCTCACTCCCCTCACCTCCCTCCCCGCCTGCTGCCTCTCGCGCACCCACTCCACCCTCTGCGCCCGCTCCTCTCCCCTCCTCCCCTTTCCCCGCGCTCTCCCCCCCCTGCTCGCCGTCTTCCGCGTCGTCCGCCATGGGTTCGCTCTCTGGGGCAACATTCACGTCGCGCATCACCACAACAGCTCCGCGCGCGCGCGCCTGCGCGCGCACGAGGTCCGCCTGCGGGGATTGCTGCGCGTGGATGAGTCCGCGCGCCTGCGACAGCGCAAACAGCTCCGCCGCTTCCAGCCGCGCGCACAGAATCGACTGCCTCCGCGGCCGCCCCGTGCTGCTGCCGCTCCCCCGCACACTGCCTTGCGCGTACTCCTCCCCCTCCCCCTCCGCCTCCTCCTCCGCCTCCGCCTCCTCCTCTCCCTCCCCCGACACCAGCATGCGCCGCACCATCTGCTTCACCCACCACCGCTTCTCGCTCTCCTTCACGCTCAGCGCCGCGGGGGGAACTTCGGGGGGAACGGGCTCCCCCCACTGGGGGTTGGGGCGGCACAGCGCGGCGCGGCGGAGCGTGGCGGAGAGCAGGTGCGGCTGGCGATTGGCGTGGAAGGAGCGCGCGACGGCGAGCGCTTGCGAGGGGAAGAAGGCGGCGACGGTGGCGTCGGCGTGCGGCGCGCGCAGGAAGAACCACATGAGGCGCCGCGCCGTGCAGTTGACGAGGAGAGACGGCGGACAGGAGGCGCACGTGGGGTGCGGGGGAGAGGCGGAGGGAAAGGCAGAGGCGGAGGCGGAGGGGGAGGGGGAAGAGGGGGTGGAGAGAGAAACGGGTTCCAGGTAGACACCTGTGCTTTGTCTGACACGTGTCATGTTCTCCTTGGCTAAGAGCCGCTGCACTGGCTGGGACGGTTGTAACAGGCTGTAGCAGCGGTGCAGTGACGTGTGCAGCTGGGATTGGTCCAGGGAGGAGAGGCTAGGAAGGAGGGGTGCGAGAGAGGAGGCGAGGAAGAGAGAGAGGCGGAGTGGTCGGGAGGGGGAGGCTTGTTGGGACGACCGGCGGTTGTTGGTCCGTGATGCGGGTTGAGGGATGCGTAGAGTGACGCTCTGATGGGAGTCATATGCGGAACAATGCATGCACACACATACATGCATGCATGCAGGCATACCAGCACGCCCGCACACACGCACACATGCATTCAGAGCAAAATGGAAGGAGCGGAAGCACAGGTTAAGCTCAGGCGGTAAGGATGCAGAGCAGCACTGGGGGGAAGGAGTGGTGTTGTCACGATGAGCGGGGAGTGCGGGGTGAGGAAGACGGCACGAAGAGCGAAACGACTGTGACTCGAGGGGTAGGGGGTGGAGGATTGATGAAGTCTGGAGTGTGGGAGAAAGGTAGAGAGGGAAAGAGGGAGTGAGGGAGTGAGGGAGTGAGGGAGTGGGGTAGTGAGGAAGCGCGTTGTGTCTGGGAGCAAGAGCAGCGCACCGCAGGGGTGTAGCGAGAGCTGTCAAGCCAGCCGGGCCGTTGGTACAGCACCGTCTCTGCATCGCTCCCGCTCGGCGCGCCCTCGTCTTCACCACCGCCGCCTTCACCGCGTTGACCTTCTTGACCGCGTTGATCTTCTTGACCGCGTTGACCTTCTTGACCGCGTTGATCTTCTTGACCGCGTTGACCTTCTTGACCGCGTTGACCTTCTTGACCACCGGTGCCCTCCGCCGCGCCACCGGTCTCGAGCGCGAGCGCGGAGAGGGGCGGTAGGGGCGCGAGGAGGTGGTGCGGGCGGGCGTGGGGCAGCGCGGGGTCGGGAAGCCACAGCACGGCCACGCGGAGGGCGCGCTGCAGGGGCGCGCGCGGGGAGGAGTTCTGCAAGGCGTTTGCGGAGGCGGGTTCAAGCGGAAGCACCCCGCCGACGGCGGAATAATCAGCGGGGAAAGACGCGGTTTCCGCGTCTTCTTGAGCTTCTGTTGCTGTAGATGTTGCGACACTGGCGGCGGAAAGCAGAGCGCCAATGCCGTAGCCCGCGCAGAGTGCGTCAAGGCGGTCGTGCAGGGGCCCCTGGGGTGATGCGGAATAGACACGGGGGGAAGGGGTACGGCGGAATAAGATGGGAAAGGGGTGAGGGGGAAGGAAGATGGGAGTGGGGAATAAGAGGTAGCGCGAAGCGGATATTAGTTACCAAAAGAGGACTGTTCTAAGGTGGGAAAATAGGGAATCATAAAGTCGGCGAGAGCGACGAGGCAGGGGACACAATTTTGAAATAACGGACGGGCTGTAGAAATCTTGCAACATCAGGGCGCGCGGCGCGACTAGCTTGGCCATCGAAAGAAAGAAAACTGACAGATAGACTTGACACGCTGAAGACAATAGAAGACTTGGTGGAAACCTCGCGCCGCACGTCCACGTGGTGCATTTTAAGAGATGCACATTGAAGGCAAGCAACGAAGGTTCGCGACCCGCGACATGCTACGAACAACGCGCAGGCGCACGGCTCATCCGAAATGAGAACTCTCCCGCAGAAGTACGACACAGTGATTCGGCGGAGGTACATGATCTGAACTGCGCCGCGACGCGGCGTAGAACAGTCGACCAATAACGAAGCCATGTCAAGGCCCGCCGCTACAGCTAGCAGCACCTTTGTCCAGACAACAATGTCGGGAAGAAATCGGCCGTCGCGGCGCTCCGTCGACCGCGCAACGCTTGCGTCGGCCGCTGCCACCGCTTCCGCCGACAATGGCGGCGCTGGCGGCCACTCTGGCACCGCCTCGACATCGTCACCCGGAAATTGCCGCGAATAGGAAGCGCTCCCCCGTGTTGACTCGTATCTTGGCGGTTCCGCCATCTCCGCACCCACAGGGTCTCCGGGATCCCCGAGAAGAATAGAGCGGGAGCGCCAAATGTCTAAAAAGAAAGCGGTGCTGCTGTCGCGAGTGACGGCGACAACGCCGGCGAGAAGGACCACAAAGAGAACGCGGCTGCTCAGCCTGAGATTTAGCCGCAGGCCGGCCGGAACGGCGGCATTGCACACAGCCGCGTATCTAGACGCTTTCCAGCTTGCTGCAGTGCTGCCATCACACGTGTACGAATAGCCGTGCGCTTTATCGCAAGCGAGTCTTTCGGGCGCCATGGAGCATGGATGTAGTGCATAAAGATTGCTAAGAACTTGTACCAGCGGAAGCTTGCACAAAATAAGGGTGGTGCTGCCAGATAGCACCGTCTGTGATAGCGCAGTCAGAGGAGGAGGTCGCAGCATGTACCTGCTCGGTAAGATGGGTGAAAATGTGGGTGTCACTGTCACTCCCGCAAGACCCTACTCAACCGATTTAGATTGCAACAAACCAGCGGTGAGCACTAAGACCCCCGTAAAGCGACACTTTGAGCGATGTTCGGCAGCACAGGGGATCCAGCGAGTTGGAGGGGGAAGAACCCAAGAAGAGTTGGAGGGTGTAGCGCCAGTGCACCAAGAAGTCACAGGCGCTAGAACGACACTTTGGTGCGCTGGACGTCGTGCATGAAGGGACGTGGCGCGGCGGCGCTTTGGTCGAGTCGAGACCCCACACGGAATCAGGTCTGGACTCAGGGGGGCTGTCCACTACTGTACAGTTTCTTGGGGGCTCCATAGGCTCTGCCTAGGAAGTTGCGATTTGCGAGTAACTGTTACGGCAGGCCCCAGGAAGTCAGGGTGTTTTACCCTAATTAGCCTGTTTTTCAGAGTGATTTTTTTGGTTCACCCTGCTGAACTTGACTTTGACGACCCCACGCCCTGACACAGCTTGACATGACAGAAAATTTACCCTTTAGATGCAGGTAGAAGCGTGTATTTGACCCCGCTGAATCCGAGTCTAAGACATTTTTACCCTGCCTAAACCCCTTCTAGAGTCGAGCTTCCTCGCTCTCAAAATAATTTTAAGTCAAAAACGCCTCGTAAATCTGGCTGAGACAGGAACTCTGAATTTTCGAATAGTCAGTGAGACACACAGCAGAATAAGCGAAGACTCAGAAACACCGGAAATTTGTCCAAGTCAACGAAGGCTCTGAAACACACTGGAAACGTGTCTAGTTAGCCACTCAAGCGGTCTGGAAAAGCGGCTAAGTCATTGAGTCACACAGGAACCAGGTGAAGTCACTGAGCCAAACTGAAAATTAGGCAAGTCACTCTGGCTCACTCTCGACTTTTCACACTTACGCATCTCTCCCCCCCCCTCGCTTCACTCTCCGCCTACATCAATTCCCAGCCAATTAGAAAACACAGATTACAGCTGAACAGGGTTGGCGAAAAGTTTACCCTGCCAACTCCGACAAGGAAATCGAAGAACCCTGCAATTTCCTGAGTATGCCACGCTTGGCACACTGCAGTGGCAGGGTGAAGGTCGATCACATCTTACTTCTGGCAGGGTGCCCCAAAACACATCGAGAGGCCTGTGTTACGGGCACGCTGAAATGGAGAACGGGAATTGCAATGTCATTTTTCTGGTGTAAGATCGACCCATCATCCATAGCTGAGAGGTGCAAGAGACTAAGGGGGTTACAGTCTTGAGGTCAAGCCGTATTGCTTGCGGCCCTGACAATTACGGCTGCATGCGCTGCTATGTTGAGCCGTATTGTTTTGCAGTCCTCCCCACACCTTTAGCACGTTCCCTACTTGATACCTGCCACGAGAGCGGGTTCATGTAGCATGAGGTGGGTGTGAAGGCTGGTGTGTCGCATGATCGACCCCACACACCAAGTTCACAGTTGATAGATGTGGGCATAAAGGCTGATGTTGCTTTTGAAGCGAGAAACCTGATCGACCCCAAACACCAAAGCCCAGGGACACAGGGGGAGAAGAGAAGGGGCAAGGGAGGAGGGGAGCGGATCCCATTTCAGGTAACCTTTAAAAATACACGCGAAATAGGCTGAAATACATGAACAAGCCTTTAGCCCGTGGAGAAAAAGCTCCACCCTGGACTGCAGTGGTTGAGCAAGGATTGGAGGCATTGAGAAAGTTTGACATTGTACACCCTCATTCTCGATAGACTGGCATATGTTATACTGACCGAGACGCTTAGTGTAGCCGCAGCGGACCAAAGAAAGTCCTATCACATGCGTTATAGTGACAATTTGACCCAAGGCGTTAAAACAAGGTTTTAAACGTTCTGGAATGTTACTGCTGTTTTCAAAGCGGTTAAGATAGATATTCAGCCTTAACGGATTTTTGCTTGCCCAAGTCCTGCTTCCTCACCTCGTGCGACTTTGCCCGCAACCAAGTTATCTCACCAGCCCGCTACGTCCAAACACTGTAGCCAGTGCTTCCGTTGGTGAGATGAGTGAGAACGAGGGTGTAGCAGCAGAGAGTTGACTTTACACAAACATTCGCAGATACCCAAATCAGTCGGAACTGGGAATTATTCGAGGTTCGGCATCCGCTGCGGTTTGAATAGAAGGTGATCGTAGCTGAAAGAGGGCTGTGCATGCCAATAAAAGCTCTGTTCTGTACCCACAGAAATGTTGACACCGTCAAATGCCCCTCAAGCAAGAAAATTAATTTTGTCGTGAGGTCCAGCAATGCAGTACACGTGCATCTCTCCGCCGGGTTCCTCTGCGTCGCTGCATCTTCTGTGCATACAGTAACCCGCCGCAATCCAGGGACGCCATCACAATGAACCATCAACTAGCTTCAAGAAGCAGACATGCAGCATTCAACTGTACAGTCGGTGCTCATTTCAAGAACACCAGGTAGGCGGGCGGCATGTGAGTAAAACAAGTTTTGGACATTTCGCCACATTCGCCCTTGTCGCCACGGGCAAAAATGTGATTGTAAAATGAAATTGGAATGCAAAACGAGTACAAGGGTTTAAGTTCGTAACCAGGTAAACAATTCTGATGACAGGCAGCCGTTGTTGTTTATGAACTGTAGATGTTTTTCTTCCTCGACTTGGTGACTGTACCCCGAAATCAGCACAATCACCACTCACAGGCAAAACGTTCGCGAGTGACTGATTTTCTAATTGTGATGAGCAAATTTTTGTGATAGGCTGAGCATCGACTGTATCTGCTTCAGTGCGTGTCCAGCGCGTACGTTATCGGTTTATAAAGAGTTCATTTTCCGTGGTGCAGAACGATATTTAAAGGTGAAAAGCGAAATTATAATTTCACCATTGTTTACCGTGACGCAAAGCAGTCAACCGCACAGAATGAACTGTAAATGTACGCGCTGGGCACGCCCTTAGTCCAACCACCAACCCAACCTAAGCCTAATCCCCGTTAGAATATGAACGGTTTAGACAACAATAAGACCCAAGTAGAATCTGTAGTAAGCATCTCTCTAAGATTTTTTTTTGCATTCCTTACTGCGTTCTTCAACATCGCATACAGCAGCAACCGTTGTTCGCCCATTATTGCTAATGGGGCTTCGCCAACATTTGCGCACACAATTTCACCAAACCATGCACCGCTGGCCCGGCCACGTCGGCCTACGCTTCTGGACTAGCCCGAACATCAATGTCAGCCTGGCACTAGCTAGCTTGCACGCACCGCGTTACCGTTTGCATGTTTCGCACATAAGTATTCGCTCATGTCACCGCTCATAGTTTGTACTCGTTTGGCAATCTAGTGCAATCCTCGCTACTATCGTTCCATTGCACCCGTAACACTTGGTATCGGAGCCACTTTCTTTTCGAACCGCGAATTCCGCAACCAGCAAAAACACAACATGTGATCTTTTTCACTCAAAGGGTCTCACGCTCCTTAGCACCTAGGAGGCATTGTTTTCACGCTCTCTCGTAAACGCATGCATGACAACTGCGCCTAGAGCTAAGCCGAGTTGCCGACCTTCGAAATGGCCGAACATATCGACGTCGTGACACTGACGGAGGAGTGCCTGACCCAAATGCTGCAGCTGCAAGAAAGCACCGAAGCAATTGCGGTGCTGACGGGAGAGCGTATGTCACTGCAAAAGGACGTCGCACGAGCGCAACACGCACAATCACAAACGCACAATCACAAACGCAAGGCACGCAAATACAAGCAGCACATAAAGCATCACAACATGGAAGCGTGCGGCAACCATCGAGCGCGGCTGGTGATGGCATCGCCGCAACGATAGAGACGACGACCACGGCGCGACACACCCCGTAACAACGAATGCGGCCAAGAGTCTGCCACGCGTCACAATTTCGATGCCAAACGACGTATCGGCACTGCCGTCGCAGATGCCGCTCAAGCTACAGTGTTCGCCTTGCTTCGATTCGAGTCAACGAGGTGGTCCGACGGTTCAAGCTTGGCTATTCACGATGAACGTCTTTATCGACGCCAACCACGTTTCATTGGACTCGGCGAAGATTCGATACGCCATGTCGCTGCTGCGAGGACCCGCCAGTCGGTGGCGCGTCATTAGCACGAAGCCGACGGACTACAAGACTCTACCATCACGTGAAGGATAAACCAAACCATGGGCGCTGTCGTATTTCAAGGAGGTAGCCCAGTATCGCACGTGGGATGCGTGGTGCGCAAGTCTGCGCGTAAGATTTGAGCCGATCGTGACTTTGATTGCGGCGCAAAAGAGGCTCCGCACTTGGCGCCAAGACTACACCATTGGGTTCCTAGCGTTATGCAAGGAGGTGGGATACATGCATGAGGGAGAGTGCATCGACCGATATAACGGCGGTCTGAAACACGGAATTGCCTAAGGATTTCAGCTTCGCAATGTCCCCAATTTTTACGACATCCTCGCCATGGCGGAGAAGCTTGCCTTCTTACGCCGACCGAGACCGGGGTCCTACGACATCAGCAGAAGCTAGGACAAATGAGTATGCCACGATACGCGCCATTGCCGCGAATATCGCTGCCGCACCGTTTAAAGGGCGCTGCTTCGCGTGCAACAGGCCAGGGCACCGTAAGAGCGAATGCTTGGAGAACGCTAAGGGAAATGGGGAAGTTGAGCAGCAAAAAAGACCAAGCAGCAGGGAAACGTTGGAAGTCAGTAGCAGATACACCCTCTATTGATAGGTCACGCCGCTCGCCCAATCCAACCGACCCTCACCGAGTGATTGTGCCGGTTTACGAAATCGACCACACCCGGCCAAATAAGGAGGGTATAATGGTAGACTGCCCCATACTGCTTAGTGGGAAAAAACCGACGGACTTAGTTAAAATCTTCGTGGACGGGGGAGCCAGCCAGAGCTTGATGAACACCGTTACAGCACAGAGACTAAAACCGAGGTAAAGGCTGCTGAGATAAACTCTATAACGGTGGGAGCTAGACTAGGGGTAGGC